AATTGGGTAATTGACGTTTTCAATTAACAGAGATGGACGATAGTATGAAAACATTCATTTTCCCGCCAAAATTTGCTTGCTTGTCAATGTCAATGCTTATCGGGTATTCAGAAATCCCCTCGTTTTTATCCTAATCGGTGACTTCACCGCTGAGTAAGCTATCTTTGTTTAGTGAATAGAAAATGACAATGACCGACATAGAATGGTGAATCCATCGGTGTTTGATGAAAATAAAAACGCAGGGAAGTTGAAATTGGAAAGAAAATGTGGAAAAGTCACTGCTTCATTTGCGGAACTTCGCTATGGAGAAGGCGGTGGATTATTCTGGAAGCAAACAGCTTCTTCAAACTGAACTTGAACGTGGACTACTCTGTATACTTGATGGGCCGTGGATTCCCCTTTCTTTTGCGAGTATCCTTTCTGATTTTGTGTATTCAAATTTTGACAAATGTAGGATTTGATGGAAAGTCACGTCCGTCGGTGAATAGGAATTATTTCTACGAAAAGGCACATTACACACAATCACCATTGTTAGGAAAAAGCCTTGAAAAAACCGAGGAATTAATAGTTTCGAGTAGTGATGCAAATGCAAGACCAAGACCAAGACCGGGCTAGTCTTGGTCTTGGTCTTGGTCTTGCATATGCGGTCTTGGTCTTGGTCTTGCAGTCTAATAAGTGGTCTTGGTTTGCAGGGTCCAGTCTTGGTCTAAATAAAAAATCGTATTTCATGCCAATTGAAGTAATTAAACGTTTAAAGAAAGGGAGAGTATATGCCAGTATCAAAATTTTGGTTTTTCAATATTGAGTACCTCTACCACAGCAGCAAATTTTAACAATTACTTAAATTAGGCAATTTTTTCAAGTAAAAAATGCTTAAAAAAACATTGGAAGTTAAGGGATCACTTGTTTAGGTTTGTCCCTGTAAATATTGAGAAATCCTTATTTGTATTTACCAGTAGCGTATCCAGAGAAATGAGAATATATGTTTGGGGCCCCTACATACCTATAGGTTGTGGATTGTGTCTAAAAATCTAAACAAAAAATTGAGGTGTCAGGGTGCCACGCTCTGATGTTGCTATATTTTTTTATACGTAAAAATACAGTTTTTGATAGCGACCTGGGGGTGGCCCGGCCCGATGCCCCCCCCCTTGGTGCGCCCCTGGTATTCACAATTAAGTGCGGGCGGCGCTAACAAAAGAACTATTTTATTTAAACGTGAATTTTATTTGATTTTTTTATGCCTATCTATAATTGACTTGAAATGTAAGTATCTATACATTTTCATGTTTCTTGATAATCTAATGCAGCTATTCTTTTGATAGTGACATTTTTTTGGAAATATTTTACTTTATATAATTTCATAAATTTATATCCTAAGTCACTGGGGGCCCGTTACCTAAGCTGGGATTAGAAATAAACCAAAATTATTTTTGCTCAATGAAAAAGTGCACATCAGTTTTATACATTTCTCAGCAAATGAAAAATTTGGTTAAGAATTTCACTAACTCGCGAGCCATGCGGTAACTGCAAAAATAATGCAAAAGATAGTACTTTTTTTCATGGACAGAAAAATCTTTTACTTTTAAACACCAATTCGATTTACATTGGAAATTCAGATATGTATGATAATTGTGTTTGTGGGAATTCCTTATATTCTCCAAAGTTATAGGATAGGGTGGGTCCCAATACCAATAACAGAGCCTATGATAATAGTAAGACATGATATATTCAACTACGAACAACTAAATCAAATACATAAAGTCTGTTTTTTTTTTAAAGATAATTCCCCAAGTCAAAAATTTAGTAACTATGTTGGCAGCACAAGCCTTTTCTACATAAAAAATTTGAAAGCATTGACAATTTTACATTGTATTGCCAACATAATGTCACTTTGACTTTTATCTTAAAAAAAAAACACATTTTACTGAATTTTATTACTCTTCAGAAAAAAATGGAACAAAAACGCAAGACCGCAAGACTCTTGCATACTCGGTCTTGGTCTTGAGCAAATCTTGATGCAATGCTGAGTCTTGGTCTTGCATAAGTCTTGCAATGCTCGGTCTTGGTCTTGGTCTTGCAGTCTAATAAGTGGTCTTGGTCTTGGTCTTGCTTTCTCTGCAAGACCAAGACCAAGACCGCAAGACCAAGACCGCAAGACCAAGACCGCAAGACCAAGACCAGTTTCGCTCATCACTAGTTTCGAGTTTCTACACGTATAAAAGTCTTGTCAATAATCCACTGTCAACGGCTGTCAACCATTGTTTTCATACTCTTTTGACGTCTGACAGTCTGATGCCAGAGAGAGAGGCTTTTAAATTGAAAAGGTCATATTGACCTTTTCAAAGGATAACGCACACCTAACATGGGATTTTTGGGTTCTATGGATTTTGCCCATTTTTTGATATGTCGTAGAGGATTTAATTCTGAACAACCTATAAATGGGACTAAATCTTGTAGCTATTGCGGTCTTTGAGACATGAGCGTTAAAAGATGAACTTTTTTGAGACTTTTTGTGTGGAGAGTATACGAGATACTGGTGTTTATCATTCAAAATTTTGACAGGTCGACATATTTCACGTCACTAACAAATGTCAACATAGGCTAAGGCCGGAACCGCACTGGCGCAAACACCCTAGTGCGGTCCCGGCCTTAACCTAATTTTTAAGTGACGTAAAATATGTGAACCTGTCAATATTTTGACTGATAAACACCAGTAGCACCAGTATCTCGTATACTCTCCACACAAAAAGTCTCAAAAAAGTTCATCTTTCAACGCTCATGTCTCAAAGACCGTAATAGATACAAGATTTCGTCCCATTTAAAGGTTGTTCAGAATTAAATCCTCTACAACATATCAAAAAATGGGCAAAATCCATAGAGCCCAAAAATCCCATGTTAGGTGTGCGTTATCCTTTAGTAAAATAGTTATTTATGCAACAAGTGTGTAAAGTGAACCTTTTTTCACGAATGTGAATTTTGACGCACGAGCCGAAGGCGAGTGCGACAATCACATGAGTGCTTAACGCACGTATTGCATACAAAATTTTTTCTACTACCAATCAAATATGTGTAAAAAAATAAATTTAGGCAAATTCTTCACGCACTAGTGCGTAAAGTATTCTCACTTTACGCACTAGTGCGTGAAGTAATTTACCAGAAAAATAGTAATTTGACAGTGTTGACATCTGTCATTGACATTACTTCACGCACTAGTGTGTGAAGTGAATTACTTTACGCACTAGTGTGTGAAGAGAAATTTTACGTCTTCTGAATAGTGCATAAAGTGAGTACTTTACGCACGGTAGTAGAAATAAGCACTTTCGTGACTTTTCTTCTTGAGGTTTTAGGGCCTGTAAAATTTTAAAAATGATTTTTGCATTTTTTTCCTTGAAAATTTTAATCATCCGACACTGCCTGACAAAATCGCTCATCATAACCAAATTGATATTCTACAAATTCTAATGAATATTCATACATTCTTAATCAAAGGAATTAAATACTCTTATAAGATATAACAAAATTGAATCATTTATCTTGAATAATATTCGATATGTTGAGCCTTAAAGTTAAAGGTTGAACACACCTTCAGTTCACATAGTATTAATGTTGGAAAAAAAAATCTCAAATTTGTATAAACTTGACGTAAATGTCACAGACTGGGTTCAGAAGTAGCTAATAGCTGTGACAAAGCTATTTTTGTATTATTGGTTCTTCTTAAATTCATTGCTCAAGAGTGGCTGGATGAGTTGCTTTATCAACCTTTTTTTTAATGTTTCTTAGAATGATTTTGAAAGCAATTTTTCTTGAATCAGAAATAGCTAAAATGAATGGCTTTTTAAGACTTTTTTCTGTTTATTGATCCTAAAGCAATTCTTAAAATAATTTGTCCACAGTAGGTTTCAACAGCTTCGTACAAAGATTTTGGTATTGATTTCCGAAGCTCATCTCAAAATAATTTCTCAGGAAATTTTTCCTCAATCAATTATTTCAATGTTTTCTGCAGTTTTTTGGAACGATTTCCCAGAAGTGAGTAGCTGCTTTATTCCATCAGCTTTTTTTGACAGTTTTTCAAGCTTTTTTCTGCTTTAATTAATTTATTATTTATGTGAACTTAGTTGACGCTTAAACCATTCAAAGTATTTCAAAATTGTCGCAACATGTAGTTTTTTTGACCAGAATTTATGATTGGCTCTGAAAATAAGGTAGGAAGTCGTTTTGTGAGGCCTCATTTCAACGCATTAATTTGAAATACTCTGAATACGATTCTAAAGTAGCCGTTTGAGCCAAATAATTATAGAAATAATTACCTAATACCATTGCAATTTTACGTAATACAGAGCCAATAACTCATTAAAACCACTTTGCTGCTGGTTGTCAAGAAAATGTCATTACATATTCCGCATATCACGCTTATAGTAATCCGTTTGAGGCCGGGCAACAATATATAATTAAGCCCAGATCCATGTTAAAATATTAAATTGCAATGATACAGCTATTCGGTTGCAATAAAACGGCTCATTGCGTTACAGGTCGGGAGAAAAATCTTTGCATTCTATCTGTTTGGCTTAGTTTAAATATCCGCAAAGTAATTCGACCAATTATTGTCATGAGAAGTCAATTGCCTTGCAGTTGTGGCAGTTTTATATAGATAATTCGATATGGGGAAGGTCGTTGATCGAATTACATATACTTCACTTTAGCCGAGGTAATTTTTCTATTATATCTAATTGCAAAACTGTATATTTTTAGGACAAGAATTATGAAATCAATTCAACTATTACTTCAGTTATACAAATTAAACGCTACATCCTCTCAATCTACATATAAGTGAAATGCTTTAAATAATACATAATTGTTAACACATTCTTAGAAAGTATTTAATTTAATAATAATAATAATAGTTGAATCACTTAATATTCTTCTTCCTAGATTAACTTACATTTTAACAAAAATAAAAGGCATGGTTGGATAATTAATAATTATTTTCTCTTTTGTTGCAGGAATGAGTATTAGAAGGGGAAAATACTTAAAAAAACTAAATCAAATGAAGCCGAAATAATGAATTATTGGAGCTCAAATATTATTTGCCTGGTTACAGCAATACATGCTGTATTTGGTAAGTACATTTGTATACAATTTACCTAATGCCGGTAAAGAAAAAATGCTCTGCAAGGTATATTACGACCTCGAACGGTACTTCTATGAAAAACGACTTTAAAAGTAAGGGTAATTAAACTTTCTCATTAACAAAGAGCGAGTTTATTACACCGCCTTATGTTACTAGAGTGTTTCAGAGTTGGTGAACTATATGAAAGAATTAGTTTTTGATTTATGAACCTTTTAAATACAAGCAGTGTTGTCAGATGTCCAATTTAAAATTATCAGGATTTGAGAACAAAATTATCAGATTCCAAGAAAAATTATCAGAAAAAAGTCACTTTTTTGACTTTTTATCCTTATTTTCATTTTTCGGGTTCTAGCTGGGACTCTGGCAATGTAGCTCCCAATAAGAGCTTCAAAAAAGGTTATTCAAGACTTCGAGCCCAAGGGCTTCGTTTTCAAGATAATCGGCTTTCAAGCTTTTGTAAAATTTGAGACAAAGTTTTAACTTTCAGCCTCAATATCTCCAAAAGTATTTAAGATATAGAATTGAATCTTATTTTATCTTGAAGATTATTTAATTCTGATTCAGAATATATAATTTATCATCATATTTGTTATAATAATAACCAAGTAATCAGCAATTTTGTGAAAGAATATCAGATTATTGAAATTTTTTGAGCCCAAAAAATGCAAATATCGTTTTTATTTTTTTACAAGCCTCAAAACCCTAAAACCAAAGTTGCTTAAATGCTTTTCCACTAATTTTCACCTCCTCTTTTGATGAGTAAAGTCAAAAATTGCAAAATCCAAAAATTTAAAAATTCGAACTTTTCCAAAGAAAGGGGTATGGAAATTGGATTTTCAAATATTTCAAATGCTTGTATTTTGGAAACCAGTAAAGCTATTGGCATGAATCTCTTGCCCATTTGTAGCTCTTAATAAGGGCTACAAAAGAGGTTATTTAAGACTCCAAGCCTAAGGGCTTCGTTTTCAAGATAATCCGCCTGGAAGCTTTTGCAAAATTTGAGGTAAAGTTTCAAATTTGAGCCTCAATATCTTCAAAAGTATTCAAGATATAGAATTGAGTCTTATTACAAAAAGGTTATTCAACCTTTTTTGTAGCCCTTATTAAGAGCTACAATTGAGCGGAAAATTCATGCCAATAGCATCACTGGTTTCCAAAATACAAGCATTTGAAATATTTGAAAATCCAATTTCCATGCACACCCCTTTGGAAAAGTTCGAATTTTTAAATTTTCAGTTTTTCGAATTTTTGACTTCACCAATCGAAAGAAGAGGTTAAAATTAGTAGAAAAGCATTTTCGCAACTTTCCTTTTTGGGTTTTAAAGCCTTGTTAGAAAATAAAAACGATTTTTGCAATTTTTGGGCTCAAAAAATTTCAATAATCTGACATTCTTTCATTAAATTGCTGATTACTTGGTTATTATTGTAACAAATATAATATAAAATTATATATTCTGAATCAGAATTAAATTATCTTCAAGATAAGATAAGACTCAATTCTATATCTTGAACACTTCTGAAGATATTGAGGCTCAAAGTTGAAACTTTACCTCACATTTTGCAAAAGCTTCCAGGCGGATTATCTTGGTCTCAAATAACCTTTTTTGTAGCCCTTATTAAGAGCTACAAATGGGCAAGAGATTCATGCCAATAGCTTCACTGGTTTCCAAAATACAAGCATTTGAAATATTTACCCTTTGTTGAAGCCCCAATCGAGATCTACAATTAGACAAAATTCCGTGCCGATAGCTTTTCTGGTTTCTTGGTTCAGTAAATTTTACATTAATATTATTAGCAACATAAGATTTACGTTAATATGATGCGAGACAAACAGACCTTCAGTTCACATAGTATTAATGCTGGCAAAAAAAATCTCAAATTTTTATAAACTTGACGTAAATGTCACAGACTGGGTTCAGAAGTAGCTAATAGCTGTGACAAAGCTATTTTTGTATTATTGGTTCTTCTTAAATTCATTGCTCAAGAGTGGCTGGATGAGTTGCTTTATCAACCTTTTTTTTAATGTTTCTTAGAATGATTTTGAAAGCAATTTTTCTTGAATCAAAAATAGCTAAAGCTTGTTTTTTTTTAAAGATAATTCCCCATGTCAAAAATTTAGTAACTATGTTGGCAACACAAGCCTTTTCTACATAAAAAATTTGAAAGCATTGACAATTTTACATTGTATTGCCAACATAATGTCATTTTGACTTTTATCTTTAAAAAAAAACAGACTTTAAAATGAATGGCTTTTTAACACTTTTTTCTGTTTATTGATCCTAAAGCAATTCTTAAACTAATTTGTCCACAGTAGGTTTCAACAACTTCGTACAAAGATTTTGATATTGATTTCCGAAGCTCATCTCAAAATAATTTCTCAGGAAATTTTTCCTCAATCAATTATTTCAATGTTTCCTGCAGTTTTTTGGAACGATTTCACAGAAGTGAGTAGCTGCTTTATTCCATCAGCTTTTTTTGACAGTTTTTCAAGCTTTTTTCTGCTTTAATTAATTTATTATTTATGTGAACTTAGCTGACGCTTAAACCATTCACAGTATTTCAAAATTGTCGCAACATGTAGTTTTTTTGACCAGAATTTATGATTCTGAATCAGAATTAAATTATCTTCAAGATAAGATAAGACTCAATTCTATATCTTGAATACTTCTGAAGATATTGAGGCTCAAAGTTGAAACTTTACCGCACATTTTGCAAAAGCTTCCAGGCGGATTATCTTGGTCTCAAATAACCTTTTTTGTGCCAATAGCTTCACTGGTTTCCAAAATACAAGCATTTGAAATATTTGAAAATCCAATTTCCATGCATACACCCCTTTGGAAAAGTTCGAATTTTTAAATTTTCAGTTTTTCGAATTTTTGACTTCACCAATCGAAAGAAGAGGTTAAAATTAGTAGAAAAGCATTTTCGCAACTTTCCTTTTTGGGTTTTAAAGCCTTGTTAGAAAATAAAAACGATTTTTGCAATTTTTGGGCTCAAAAAATCCATGGAAATTGGATTTTCAAATATTTCAAATGCTTGTATTTTGGAAACCAGTGAAGCTATTGGCATGAATCTTTCGCTCAATTGTAGCTCTTAATAAGGGCTACAAAAAAGGTTCTTTAAGACTCCAAGCCCAAGGGCTTCGTTTCCAAGATAATCCGCCTGGAAGCTTTTGCAAAATGTGCGGTAAAGTTTCAACTTTAAGCCTCAATATCTTCAGAAGTATTCAAGATATAGAATTGAGTCTTATTTCATCTTGAAGATAATTTAATTCTAATTCAGAGTATATGATTTTATATTATACTTGTTACAATAATAACCAAGTAATCAGCAATTTTATGAAAGAATGTCAGATTATTGAAATTTTTTGAGCCCAAAAATTGCAAAAATCGTTTTTATTTTCTAACAAGGCTTTAAAACCCAAAAAGGAAAGTTGCGAAAATGCTTTTCTACTAATTTTAACCTTCTTTCGATTGGTGAAGTCAAAAATTCGAAAAACTGAAAATTTAAAAATTCGAACTTTTCCAAAGGGGTGGAAATTGGATTTTCAAATATTTCAAATGCTTGTATTTTGGAAACCAGTGAAGCTATTGGCATGAATATCTTGCCCATTTGTAGGTCTTAATAAGGGCTACAAAAAAGGTTATTTAAGACTCCAAGCCCAAGGGATTCGTTTTCAAGATAATCCGCCTGGAAGCTTTTGCAAAATGTCAGGTAAAGTTTCAACTTTGAGCCTCAATATCTTCAGAAGTATTCAAGATATAGAATTGAGTCTTATTTTATCTTGAAGATAATTTAATTCTGATTCAGAATATATAATTTTATATTATATATTATATTATAATAACCAAGTAATCAGCAATTTTATGAAAGAACGTCAGATTATTGAAATTTTTTGAGCCCAAAAATTGCAAAAATCGTTTTTATTTTCTAACAAGGCTTTAAAACCCAAAAAGGAAAGTTGCGAAAATGCTTTTCTACTAATTTTAACCTCTTCTTTCGATTGGTGAAGTCAAAAATTGCAAAATCGATAAAGTTTAAAAATTCGAATTTTTCCAAAGGGGTGCATGGAAATTTGATTTTCAAATAGGTACCATTCAAAGGGCCATATTTTGAAAACCAGTGAAGCTATTCGCATGAATCTTTTGCCCAATTATAGCTCTTAATAAGGACTACAAAAACGGTTATTTGAGACTCCGAGCCCAAGGGCTTCGTTTTCAAGATAATCCGCCTGGAATCTTTTGCAAAATTTGAGGTAAAGTTTCAACTTTGAGCCTCAATATCTTCACAAGTATTTGAGATATAGAATTGAATCTTATTTGATCTTGAAGATAATTTAATTTTGATTCAGAATATATAATTTTACATTTATTTGTTACAATAATAACCGAGTAATCAGCAATTTTGTGAGAGAGTGTCAGATTATTGAACTTTTTTGAGCCCAAAAATTGCAAAAAACGTTTCTATTTTTTTACAAGGCTTTAAAACTCTAAAAAAAAGTTGCAAAATTGCTTTTTCACTAATTTTGATCTCCTCTTTTGATTGGTAAAATCAAACAGCAAAATCTAAAAAAATTTTAATTCGAATTTTTCCAAAGGGGAATTTGATTTTCAAATATTTCAATCTGGGACTAGTGTTTGGTGCTCGCACCAGTACGCCAAAACACTCAAAACCAACAACCACCTTCAATTTTTTAAAAGATTTTTAATTTTTAACTAGAAATTTGAAAAATCTATATTAAAATTGTAGTTTCAATAAATTATGGTAGATTAGCTTGTCAGTATCGATTATTGAATCGTAGTCAAAATTATGGTAGAATTCGATAATTATCGGGTCATTGGCAAAACTAAATACAAGCCTTTATTGGTAAATTTTTATAACATTTAAGAGAAATTTCAATTTTGCTCAAGATGAAAACTGGCTAAAACGCATTTCATGAAATCTGATAGAAAATGATCCAGAAGCACATTATACTAAAATGCTTTGGC